AGGCTGATGCCACGACACTCACTCTAGCCAGGGCAACAAAGCAAGACTCTGTCTCAAAAAAAATGTTCCTCAAATACATAAATTTTGAAAACATTTACTAAAAACATTTCTTGTCTGCAGAGATTCCTCGGAGACTTCAATATGTATCGAAACTCACTGTGAATCTGCAAGAGTAGGAGTCTAACAGAATTACAAACTTGCCTGACAGAAACTTGTCTAACAGAAATACAAACTTGTATGGGACAGAATTCTGTACCATACACAAAGAAAAACGTTCCAAACCACTATCAAGAGAACACCTGAGGCCTACCTCACTGTAGCTCTAGCTCCAAAGCATCTCAGACCAACCACTAAGGCAAGAGTCAAGATTTCTCAAGGTGCTAGAAGAATCCAGCAGTCTAGAGTACCCTCCCCACTCTGACTCAAACTGTAAAGCCTCATTTTCTGTTTTCACAGTATGTTTCTCACAACACATACATGCCTCTAAACAGCAACTTACATATGAAGTTTCCAAATTAAACATATTCACCTGCCCTGTGGATGTTCCAACTGCCATGGTCAAGGCACCATTAAATTTCAAAGCAGAGATTGTTGGTAAACTGTTTATCCTGAAAGGCAAAATGTTCATGCTCCATGAATATACGGCCAAATCTCCTTTCAAGTAACAGGTTCATTACTAATCTTCGCTTCAAATTTAACAGGAAAAAATCACATTTCTAGCCTTCTACAATGTTTAAAAGGTAATTGCATCCAAACTCTCATAATCAAAATTTTAAAATGTTTTATATACAAATATAATCTACCTTTATCTTCCATTTTAATTAAGCTAGGATAAAACATTTACAGAAACGTCCCCTTTTTTACTTAAGAGGAAATAATTTTATATTTAGACATGGGTATATTCATTTCCATTTTAAAATCAGCCATTCCCAGCTAAAATAAAAACTAATCTCCAAATGAGGACCCTAGAACCCCTCAAAGTACCAAAGGCAGAACGAATGGTATGGCCATGACATTAGAATATGCCCCTCATCCACCAACCAAGAGCATCAGCATGGGATAGGGAACCTGTAGCCTTCTGATTTCAAGACTGTTCTTCTTTAAGCACCAAAGGAGGCAAGACAAGCTTCATTTTTCTCTGCTGCGCCCCTTTTAACAAAGGATTTGTTATGTAAAATTTGGATTTAGTCAAAAAGCCCCATTTAAGGACCAGGAAGGCCACCTGTTTCCTTATGGCCTGAGGTTCCCCAACCCTCTGTTGGCATCATCAGGTCTCTTCTGCCACCTAAAGCCTCAACCTGTAACTACCCTGAAGCATCGGTTGTGAACCCTGAGACCTCATACCCACATCATTTTTAGTCATTTAATGTTCAAAATGAACTTTAGAATCATTTTTCAGTACAGTGATATATGAGGGCTGTCCGGAAAGTATCCATCCATTGTTAATATAGCAAGAATGGTTACATGGCTGGATACTTTCCCAACAGCCCTCACATTTTTTCTACTTATTCAAATTTTGTTTCTTAATAAAATTTTGTCATTTTCTTCATATATGTACTTATTAAGTTTATCCCTCAGTATTTTACAATTTTTGTTGTTATAAATGAGAACTCTTTTCCATTGGATCTTTCTAACTGGATATTGCTGATAAATACCAAAGCCATTGGTTTTTGCACATTTTGTAACCCATTTATTTAACTCTCATATTAATTCTTACAGGTTTACAGTTGATTCTACTGAATTTCTTGGGCAGACAATCAAGTCATTTCCAAATAATGACAGCTTGCCTGCCCTACTCAATATTTACACTTAATTCTTTCTCATATTGTAGTGGCCCCACCTTCTTGAACTTTGTAAAGTAACAGAATTGACAGCTTATAAGGTATGTAGGGAAAAAATAAGGCTAAGCATAAAAAAGTGAACAAGTAAAATCACCTGAAACTGAATTAGCAAGAAAAACTACGTTTAACATTTTGGTACACATCCAAATTTTTCCCTACGACTGCTTACATGTTCATTGTTTTTCTTACAAAAATGCGATAAAGCTCTACAGGCAATTGTATGATTTGCTATTCCACTTAAAGGTATATTTGCAGGGGAGATAAAGTGGCAGGGGGAAGGGGAAGGTATATTTGGAATATCTTTCCCGAGTAATAAATATGCTTCTGCAACATAATTCTTAAAGGCTGAAAAGTATGTATGCCATTAATGGATATGTTTTCATCTGTAAAACAGAATACAATAACAGTTCCTACAGCAAGGGGTTGTTGTATTAAATGTAAAGTACTGTCTGTTAGCTACATTTCTACTAAGCTTTATTAGACAATATCCTCAGGCTCTAACACTTTAATATAATTATTATTATTTTTTAGAGATGGGTCTTGCTATGATGCCCGGGCTATTCTTGAACTCAGGGCCCCAAGTGATTCTCCCATCTCAGCCTCCTGAGCAGCTGGGATTACAGATGTGAGCCACCA